GACCGTCTGAAAAAGTTACAGCAGGAGTTGTGACGGAATAAATTAAAACAAAATCAAATTAGTCATGTTTGACTCAAACGGTGTTAGATGCTAAATTCTTTATTTAATGATAGTTATTATTTAACTCTGTTAGGTTTCCTTCATTCAAAAAATAAGTGTAATTAAGTTTCTAGCCGAAAATTGACAGAGTGTTGAAAGAAGGTATCGTCGACTATTTAACTTCTAAAAAAGGTTTTGTATTTCACATTGCTGCCTTTGCACTTACATCCTGTGTTATTTTCATACTTCCCACATTAGGCCCAACCGCAGAACTCTTGCCGTTTACATTAATATTGGCAAGGTAATAGCCAGAGCCGCCTTTCAGCAAGTTCGTTGATTTGATACTACTATCAACACGCGAGTTGAAATAAAGTGCAGTGATCTGTCCCTTTGCTTTGTTGATAGTCATTGACAGCCTTTCGTTTTCGAGCACCACATTGCTGCCATCGGTGACACACAAGCGTTGGAACGATAGTGCCCTACATTGTTGACCTAAGCAATGTATTTTGGTTTAGTTGAATATGAAAGTATTAAAAAAATAAGAAAAATTAAAAATTTATGAAACAATGTAAAATATAAATGTTTTACTTTAAATATATTGTCATACGCTGCTAATCGCAAAGTACTAATTTGTTTAATTGTGACCTTAAATGCAGTAATTCTTATTAATTTTTTACAACCTAAGGGTACAACTTGGCTAGTAAAAAAACTATGTACATAATTTGTTTGTTTAAATTCTGACTGTCAAAAATTAATGTAATCACAATAATTGCATATACCTAAATAGCTTACCTGATGATGTACGGAAAAGCAGCAGGACCAAACTCACTATTAGACATTTAGTTGACATTTTCGACAAAATAACAATTGAGAATGCGATTTTCGATGTATTTATGCCTTAAGTGTGAAGATCGTTTCGTCTGATAGCGGTTTCTTGAAATAAAGCATACTTGACATAATCTGAAAAATGATAATGTTGATATGCACGTGCATTCTAAAATTTTTTTGGATTTGGTTAATTTACTTACGGAAACGTTCTCAGAGGTTTTGTCTGCATTCGATCTTTTCCGTATGCAAAGTGCTGCGAGTGTTAAACAGGAGTGTGTGGTAATTTCCAATGCACAAATCTAATAATAGTATAAATAGTACATAGTATAACTATGTGCATAAAGTTGTCATGCTATAGAAAAATTCTACAAAGTTATAGGTTCAATGAACACACTGAATCCACATTACCGTAATCACGTTTTATTTATTTTGTAAATACTTTTTTTATACCCGTGTAAGATGAGTAAAGTTATTTATTGTGAATCGAAGCTGAAGATAGAAGACGAAAGATTAGAAGAAGTGGCCGATTTTAGGTATCTAGGAAGTCAAATAAGTCAGGATGGAAGGAGAAGTAGGGATATAAAGCAGATCGAGTCGCCTTCAATAAAAAGAAGTCACTTCAATGCTCGCAAACGATTAATTTACAAATTCGAAAAGGATTGTTAAAGATGTACGTTTGGAGCGCGGCGCTGTAAGGATGCAAAACATGGACGGAAAAGAAAAGGTTAGAAGCATTTGAAATGTGGTGTTACCGGCCAATGATGAGGATACCGTCGATAGAGAAGGTAAGAAATGAAGAGGTTTTAAAAAGAATAAAAGAACAGAGGACTCTATGGAAGTTATTAAAAAATAGGCGAGATAGGTTAGCAGGACATGAAGGTCCAGTTATATTAGAGGCAGGAACGGTAGTTAGGAGAGGTAGATTAGACTACTGTTCGCAAATAGTTAAGGATGTAGGATGTTCTAGTTTTAGGGAAATGGGAAGATTAGCTCAGGATAGAAAACAGTTGAGGTACGTGTCCAACCAGTCTTAGGGCTAACGACCTTATGATGACGGTAATGAGTCGAAGCAAATATGTAGCTTTTTTAAGTTCGTGAAAGCAATTGCTCGTCAGTTATCTTTGGCTCTGAACCTCTAATCAATTGTCTTATTAAACTGACTAATCTTTATGAATTATCTTCTAATCAGTAATTTCGTATGAGACACGCGATTTATTAGAAAACTATTGTAGCTTCCCATTCAGCATGAACAACGTAAAACTGAATTGATGCTGTGTAAAATATTGTTCAATTTAGTTTTAACGCGTAGTTATTTTTTCTCTAATCTGAGGTTCTGACTGTATCAAATTTGTAAATATTATTTATTTATACTTGTACACTAGTTGGGATAAGGTAGGTGAACTACAAGCACTCAAATTAGTTTAATCAAATTTTATAACTTGAAAGGCTTTAGCAGTTGATTAGAACAGGTTTCCAATAAATTAGGTATATTTATCACAAAATTTAGCAAACTGACCTGAAGGTTTAGCCGATAAAAGTTTAGAACAAAGCTCTCTCATTTTGCACAGTGATTAATTCGAGTGAACGTGTAGTTACCGCATATATAACGGCGTGTTACAATACATAACTCCTAATAATACTATACGCAATTAATAAAATGGTTATAGGATTTTCCCTGTATTATTCATAAGATTTAAGTGCTAATTAAGTGATTGGTGGAGAAGCTTGTTGCAATAAACACTATGTCTGATCTGGTGTCACTGTAGAGTACGTATCATCATAGTGTCACAATGTAGGAGATTTAAAAAGTACCCTAGTTAACGAGCCGTCAGTGATTGAAAACAGTTGCCGCGTTATCTGACTTTTGACGAAACAGACATACCTATTCGTGACCTTCGCAAGCATCTTATCCGTAAACAAGTCAATTGTACGTAATGATTAGTAATAATCTGTAATCCTTAGCGTTTGATTAACAAAGTATTACCACAAAATACAAAAATTAGTTGAATGTAGAAATATCAAGCAAAAATCGATGTATTCGAATGCAGAATATGCGGACATGGTGGTCACATATGGATTGTGCAACGGGAATGCACTGGCGATATTACGCAAATATGTGTCATCGTCCTCATAGTCAGAGCTGTTGGGGCTTTCGATAATGTTTATGTATATCACTGAGTGGTGCGATATGACTAATGCTACTTCTTTCTAATGTATCTTCCTTTTCCTTAATTGCATAGCTCCTAATGACACCATAGGTATTTAATGAGATGGTTATGGGATTTTTCCGAAGTTGTTCGAATTTAAGAATTAATTGCTAATTAAGAAAAGGAAGACACGTTTGATTTCTGCTGCACTACGGTTATTTGTCAAGCACTTAATAAGCACTTAATCTTAAAACTCGAATAAAATCGAGAAAATCCCATAACTGTCTTATTTATTATCTACGATTTCATCACGTGCTATGTAATGTTAAACAGTTTCAACACAATCCTGCACTGTTGATGTTCGTCAAGCACTTATTAACACTTTTGTCCTATTGTTGAGCACCTAATTAACATCTAATTTTTTCTGATATATTTCTGATTTATAATNGAAACATAATTTGATAATTTGTTGTGAAGTGATTGAAAGACTTGGTCTTTCAAGGCGGGCAGTGCATGTTGTGAATTGGACCTTTTGTGTATTTTATTATAGTTGTCTAGCTGTCGTATTATTAGTTTATTCATCTTGAGCTTATTACCTTCCATTTATTAGTTGTACGTGACTATTTCTACTTTCATTTTTATTGCCAAATTTCCCTCATACCTTCCTTCCTAGAATGTCTAACCATCTGCACCCCTTGTAATTCTTAACTCTATTGTTGTATCTGTGTTGTATTTACCTCTTGTATATAGCCTCTTCTTTTGTATATATATATTTTGTTGTACCTTCATTTCAGAACTTATTTGTATATTTATCATGTTATATACTTGTGACTATATTAGTTCCCTATCTTTCTCAATGAGATACAGTTTATCGAACACCTCTACAGGAAAATCATCTCTTCCGAACGAGCTGTAATAGATTAAATAGATCTGTTAAGAACCATCGTGTTTTTATTTATTGAAGTGTTTTTTAATTCAAAACACCTTTATTAAATATTTTAATTGCGTTGCTGTCATGACGTTATGCCAGCAATACAAAATTAAGTGTTGTATTGCAGTGTATGTTAAAGAGCACCTAATTGTTAAACTCTTCATCTAATTAGCACCTAAACAGCACCTAATCGAGTAGTTTGTGCATTACGTATCTACTTTTTTTAGAGTAAAAAAAATTGAATATGTATTAAATAATAAATAAAATTAATCATTTGAACAACACGATTTGAAAGATAACATCATAACCAGGTAATTGAAATTTTTTTAAAGCCACGTGGCAGACAATCACAAATTAAATTCACACTAATTGTAAATACAATTTGATAAAAAATAATAAAATGTAATAAAAAGAGAGAGACCTACGCTAAACAATAAAAAATAAACAAGTAAGTACTTTGTTTTTATCATTTTATTGTTACTAAGCGCGACCTATAGTTTCGATGCAAGCACTGAATGAGCCACTGACGCACAGGTTATAGAATTTTATACATAAATGGTTAACAAGCATGTGAGTAAAAGTAATGTTGAGAGTTGCAATGTATTTCACGACAATGCTCCATAAAAATCAATTTATTTATTTAGAACATTATTATTTATAATCTATAACATAATTTATAGTCTTTTCCATAATGTACATAAGTTAAAGATTTTCCTCTTCTGGGAAACTATTTCTACAAATCATGATGACATTGGTGAAATTGAAGTTAGTTTTTTGTGATTTAAAAGATCGCAAATTTGTTTACATTTATCAAAAAGGTTTGAACAAGTTTTCATCTTCAAGACCGTTTATTTTATGCCAATGTAAAAACAAATCTCTCAATGTCACAATTAACCAANTATGCTCCAACAAGGTCCATTTAAATATATGGATATCTACTTGCTGAAACGAATCCCGGGGTAGCTAACCTCAAAGTGATAGGCACGTTACCATAATCGAATAAAATAATTCGAAGTGGTCTGTATTGTATTGATAACTGAAACAAATGTGTTTACCTTCAGGGTAAATATCCTTGTTAACAACCCATCCAATGAAGGTCTGGGTGACGTGGTACAGATCAGCCATTCCCCTGGGTTTGAACTCAGTTTTACTATAAAACTTCGAATGAACTTTCAGGTCGGTGTAGGAAACGTTTCCAAGAAAAAGCGCCTCATCAAGTGCTTTGTTGAGATGAACACTGATCTTATTGATTCTGGAAGTGAAACTTCCATCGCTAAGTTCGATGGCGAAAAGTAGCACGGCACAAACCACTAGCACATTCACAAATCTAACTGTAACCGGGTTGCTGCTCATCTCTTCGGGCCTGTTGATGTTCTTGTTCCTTCTCCTCGACTTTCCTAAATCCATTTCTAACGAATAATTCACAACGACTGTGTAGAAGATATTAAAATGTGTGATATCAACCGTTATCTATTCGACATTCGTTCTGTTACCATTTCATTCAAGGAGCGACTACTGACTGACTCACCATTTGTTTACATTATATCTATATACATTCGATAATAATCATTCGATTTTAATATAAGTAATAACAACGGGCCAGATGTTCAAAATATCTTCTAATTAATATTTTTTCATTGATGGGCTTTGGTCACAGCTCCTATTGAAGATATTATTGTTTTGTGTTGGTGGATGCAACATAGGAATGACGATGACGCAGTTAACAGCAATGTATAAAACCTGAAACAAAAGAGATAAGTTTTAATTGTTTTAAATGGCAATTGTAACTGTGTAGTGTGTGTATGTCTGCTTAAATGACACGCTCACAGTTTCGCCCGACATATTATTGACTGAAAGAAGCCTGTAAAAGACCAGAAAATAAAGTTTTCTCCATTTATTTCGTTTATAACAACCCAATGTGATTCATACGTACAGTAGTAATAACTATAAGGCGACAAATTAAAAACGACCTCGTTAAATTGCAATAACCACAAAGTAAACAGTCGCCACAAGAATGCCGCAAATTTTACAACAATTCTATAGGTACTATATTTGTTTGCTTAACATTTCTTATAAACTGCTAATTTGGATTTAATCAATAAAATTCATTTTCAACATGTTTTTTTTTTATTCAAATGTTAAGTATTAATAATTTCCTAAACGACTTGAATAAAGATAATATCACATAATTAAAGATAACGTATTTTTTATCGGCGTCAGTGATTCATTATATGAAATTATAAAAATAAAATTTATTTGTTTTCAATTTTTTCTATATCAAACAGAGCTGGATCTATAGATTTTTTCGGCTGCAGCCCAGGGCCCCTTAGATATAAAGGTCCCCAATCCCCCACTGATGACTACCAATAATATTGTAAAATTAGAAAATAAAAATATAATCAAACTGCTTTATAATTTATAAAACAGAACTTCAAACAATAAACCTAATCTAGCCATTAAAGAAAATAATTTTTTGACAAAATGGTAATTAATTCAATTAATTAAGTAAACCCCTACTGTTAGCCCAGCGCTCCTCATATTCACGGTCCTCTCCTGGCATTAAAGTCTCCCTAAAGAGTTTGGCTGATCTGTAATTTTGAAAATTTTTTGAGCGCATGACTTACTTATTGTCAATATCGCGTTTATAAGTGACAGTTATTATTACTATTATTATTACACAAAGGTGTATAAAACTGAAATCGGAAATATTACAATGTAGGTACCTGAAGGTCATACGTAATCCATTTACGCATTAAATCATAGGCATTGAATAACCCATAGGCTTATAATTTACGATAATTAATGAGTTCTGCTCTAACTACCTGTATAAAAGTTCAAATTGTTTTTTTTTTAATGTAATGTGAGGAGGTCTTAACCACAATAGTCCATTGTTTATCGAAATAGTAACGCAAAAACCAGTAGAATAGTTTACATGTAGGTACAAGTCAAAAAATGCGTAGGTATACTGTTTGTTTACATTTTGTTTTAATTTACATTCAGGTGTGTATGCTTATCATCACTTGCCAACAACTCCACAGGGAGCTTCTCCTCTAATCGTAAACTTTACTTACGTATCTATCTATTCAAGTATCCATTACTTACAACAAACTAATTTTGGAATCGTAAATGGAATTCATCAAAACTAACTTTAGATGCTACGCTAAATTGCCATAAACTTTTTGTAATTATTGCTACTCATTTGTACCTATTATATATCCTTAGAGCATATACATATACTCATACGCATATATGCTCTATGTCTATTTCTATAACTATGTGTTGTAGCGAGCACGAGTGTGTTTGTGTACGATCGGGCACACGTGTGCCTGAACGGCTTATCGATTCGCCGACTAGCCGCGGGCGCCTTTCTTCATGTGCGCCGTATTTGTAAATGTGTGTGTCGTACCTGCGTTCTGGGAAAGCAGTTAAACAGTTCAAAGAAAAAATAAACTATCCGGATGTTTCCAGAAGGTTCCAGAAAGTAAACAAAACAGTATTTAAAGGAAGAGACGATCGCCGAGAGAGGAAGAAAAAATTGACCGTTGCTGAAGTTAATTCAAAAATAAATTGACAGTGATAGCAGTGAAATAAATAGCGCAGTGAATAGTGATATCAACAGTAGTGTAAATAAATAGAATAATTCACCTAATTTTAGTAATAATTTAATAGTGTTTTTAAGTTGTTTAATAACTAGTGTAAATAAATAGTTTTTGTTGTTATCAGTCTTAGAAGTTAATTTTGTTAAACCCACGAACATTACAGTAAAAAACTTACAACACAGTTCTTGTATGAACATGGCATTTTTTTAAATAAGGTGTTATCCCTTTGAAGAAGGTTACAGAAAACTGTAATACATATTAATTAAAACATGAGCTACCACACATTCATACCTATCCAAAATATATCAAATAAGACTACAAGAAATACAAGGAAACTCCTTTACATCGTTTAATATTAAGCTATTGAACAATGCATGTTTGTTTATGGTTAGATAACAGGCAACATCAATATTACATGTTATATAGAGAAACAAACATTATTACCATTTGTAGGTACGTGATAAAACCACAAACATTCTGGTATGTTTGAAATAATATAATAACAACATAATTAAAATGTTCTGGTAATAATTCAATAAATGGTTGTAGGTATCTACACGGAGGTAGAAAAATGCCTTATACCATTAGTACCCAAAAGTTAGCATTTCATCTAATTTATTCACCCATTTGCCAAAACGAATATTAAATGGGCATGTTGTTTAGGATAATTAAGCGAATATCTCTTTAAACCCCATGAATAGGCTGATGGTATAGACTTTTAAAGGACTTAATCTAACTTCGCATGATTCTACCGGCAACAGTATTTATTTAATTTGATGGAAGGTAGGAAGGAAGTTGAATGGTGAAAGTTCATGCACGTCATCGCACTTTTTTTTTGGCTAAAACGGTAGAAAATTGAGTTGGGAAAGTTCGCGAACAAAATCCATCAGAAGCTGTCAGTTCCAAACTTGAATTAAGGTATGTTAAGTTCTAATGGAAATGTAAGATGCTAAGAGCATTATGTCTAAACATTGGGGATAAAGGTACTTAAATGTTTAAAACTTGTTATTATATTGTCTACGAGTAATTTAAACTGCCGGATGAGTGAAGCAACATCAGCATCATGAGGAACTTGTGCTAGTCCAAAGGGTATTTGATCTCCTGCGACTAAATATTGTTAGTATCTGAGAGTCCTACGACACATTATACTTTGACATCGTTGAAGCTATCAATTTTTGGAACAATTTTTCAGTGAAGAGTCCATCTGACTAATCCGTTTCAATTTACAGTTTTATGCTAGCAAATATAGTGTAGAGCATGGGCGTCAATAGGTAAGAGCAAGGGTGGCACTGCGCCCTTCTGGCAAGCCCATTATCCCTTCCCCCAGAAAAATCTCTCACCCATCATGACATCGGCAGAAAGTTTAAAAACATAGAAACCAAACACATTAAACCTACCAGTACGTATAAACACATAGTTATTAAAAATCTGCCTCCCAGGAGAAATCTCTCGATGCGCCCATGGTGAATAGGAGCGCGATGCGGGTTTTCGAAACAGTACACAGAATTGCCTTCTCTTTGGTGCGGCCCAGTTCAATGCTGTACAAGTCTGTAACGCGATTGACCAGAGATCCAGAGTTAGGTGTAAGATAGATACACCTTTATTATTGCATTAAAAAAATTTTAGTAATTAGATTGTCAAAAATACGTAAATATCTACTTTGTTAGCAATTGTCCAGTTCTGCATCACCAATACACTAACCGCCCTTGCTATGTGTTAAAATAGAAGATTGCCTAAAGACCTTGAAATGGTTCGTACACGCGCAGCAGAAAGTCTACAAAAACGGAAGTTTACGTCCAACAAATTACAAATACAAACGCTCTTGCGGGAAATACAAAAAGTATCTCTTTTGCCGCCATTGCGACAGATGTTTAAATGACATTCGAGGACAGAACATGTGCATCCAACAAGTAAATATGCCATTAATTAGTTCTAAGCATTATTTTTTGTGTTGTACAGACTGTTGATTGTTAATTTAAAGCGTTACTTTTAATAAAGAATAAAGATGTAGGCACAGAAATTAAATAAGTTGTTTGAATTTTAATCTTATAAACAAATCAGGACGAATTACGAATTTCACGGTTTTGATTAACATCAAATATCGGATTCGATCCAGTTCAAAAATATAAAAGCAAAATAAACAACAGATGAACAGTTATCTATCTACATATAAAATCTACGCATTAACAGCAGAAACTTTGTAGTATTGTAAGTGTTCTATGGAAATTTCATAAAATAGAGAAGGCGATGACACTGAATAATCGTGTAGATCTCCCCACACGCACAGTAACGTTGGTACTTCCGGTGCATTACCCACACAGCGATCATGATAATTGTGGTAGCGGTAATAACAGCGAAACATACAATACTCATCTTGTAACCGAGATCGCAATACCTAACGGTCGAAATATCACTTCAAGTGTCGAAATTGCATCACTGACTTACGTACACTTATGCAATCTGTTATTAATTTATTCTCTAACAATAAAAGTACAACAGGAAAAAACTGGCTTATCTTCCCAGTAAAATAAGAAGTCACTGATGAATCAGTTATTGTATTTGTACCTGTAAGATGTTCTGACACGTCAACTAATAATGTTTTGATTCCAACAGTTACTTCATCGAATTCCTTTGGTTCATGTGGTTTTAATTTTCGTTTGGTTCTTACATATTCTGTTATTTGTTTCTCATGTCTCAAATGTTGAACGATATTTTGGTGTTAAGTACCTAAATAACTTGTTGAATGTACACCTACCTATATTGGAACTAATATTTTCGGGCATTACGTAGATAGAGTATCTTCTGACGCTAATCATTTATTTTGATATAAACATCAAGATATTCTTTGGAATATTTAATACGTATGAGAAGCATCTTTCTTCACTACATTGGTCTACCAATGCTCATGAAGCAAGATCCCCATTGTCATTATTCTCTCCATTATCATATGAGTCAAGAGATATTCAATGTAGTGCAGGTGCATAACATTAATTTATTTTACAATAACAATAACAAGTTGGATTAATGAGAAATGCCATTATGTAATAAGTAATTAAAACTGAATTGCTCTTGACGTTTTGACGAAATGATAAATTTTCTGCAAAGAACACCCCAACAGTGAAAAGATTAGAGATAATATCAAATAATGTAGACAACAAATATCTTAAATTTCTATTGGGAGTTCTGGAGTCCTCGAATAATATGACCAAATGTGGAATTGGCATGAAAGAGTGAAATCGGCATCATTTTCGTATTAATGGGGTTGGTTGAGATCATAAACCAAATGAATATTAATATCTACGGCGACTTGAAGTGATAAATAAAGATTTGAAGTTGTCGTGACGATATCCCGTTTAAATTTAGTTTGAATATTTTACGCCGTTTAGGTACCTACACAAAACAGAAGGGGAAGGTTTATCTAGAAGTTAATTAAATTTCCTTATGGCTAGTGCTTTATTCAGTGACGTAATCAACCACAAAATGTAATGTTTTTACGATTTTCTCACAACTGAAAAACAAGAGAAACGTTTATCTAATCGCAAACCCATTTGTAAAAAACTGTTACCCAACATCATCAACATAATGCTACTTCTCTTTGGATCGTAGTAAATAACCTTCGAATGAAGCATGAATTCTTTATGAAAAATTGCTCACTGGAGAAGAACGTAGATAACTATAAGGAGTCATGAATAACTTCACGGAAACAAACACTTTCAACAGAACAATCGATATCTTGAATAATCAAATACACTGAGCTGATATTACTGTTGGATGGAGCTGTAGTTCCATGGTTTCAATACTTCAATTAGAATTTAGCATTTAAACTAGATTATCTGAATTGAGTTCCACTTTACTGAACAACTACTGGCGTTGCCCTGCATAACTTTATCTCATATTTTGTTTCCAGCAGCTTACCTCGTTTTGTAAAGCTCTACCTGCACCCTGTTCGTCAGGGGGTCATTCACTGCACCACACTGGCAACCAATTGCTACACTTCTCACAATTATCTGGCCACTTTTCATTCATTATAACTAAATTGGCACATCTTTAAATAATTTATAATAGAACACTACAACGTCTATTCTACCAGCCGACTAGACTACAACAATCACCAACAACTACCAATAAAAACAGAAAAACAGTTAGCAAGAGACGATACGAAATGCGCAGGACCATAACGACGATCGAATGTACGAAGCTTCCATTTCTTTCTTCAGCTATGCTCAAAGTATACCGTTCTTTGTCTGGATGCAGGTTTATTTTCAAAATGGGTCAAAAATTTGGAACGTTGCTGCAGTACTTTTAAAAATGGTCATAACTGGTTTAACTGGATACTAAACCAGCATTATAACTTTTTAGAACCAATATAACTGAGATCGCTCCAAATCCACCAAATCTTTAAATTGACATTGAACATTTGGGATGTACACTTCTAACTTTTAAATCATTGACAAAGTGATTTACATACCTTTCTCATAAACAACCCCGTATAACTAAACTTATCGAATTCTGTTATCAAACTTTTGAACAGTGACAGAACGTTGGAAAACAATTTCAATATTTTCAAAGGATACTTGGATTGTATTGCTCTTATAATATATTTATGGATATTGTTTTTTTCCCTGCAACAATTTCAAACTGCTAAAAGACGCGTTTGCCTGTTAGTTAGACGATCTCAATGGAAACCTGCGCAAACAGCTGCATAACTGTGTTCACGTCCAGCCATCCAATGAACCGCTTTCATATGCTTGCGCTCATTGAATGAAAATTTCAAAAGGCATATTCTTTTTCAAAGAAATTTAGCTTCATCACTTGTTGCTTTTAATTCAATTTATTATACGGTGCTTCGTTGAAGGATTTTGTCAGTAAGTGGCAGGGATTTTGATAATTCCTCATTCTCAATTCCATAGAGGAGACGTTTGGATCTGCAATAGTTGCGAAAATGGACAGAAGCATGAGCATCTCATGGGTCAAGGATGGATTAGATCTCTATAGACTTCAAGTTCCATATAATCCAAGACACTTTAAGTTCCATAAAAATGACAAGTAGTAATATAAACTCAAATAACTCAAAACGCTGCAAGACTAAGGTATGGCTCAAACCGCATGTCAGTTATCTCCTCCGGTGTGTATCCTCATTCAGAGCAGTCGTAACTATATCTCTGTTGATTATATAGATAGCAAGTTGTTATCTTGGTGGACCGAATTATCCGCTGAGAAGAAAGATGTCTTTATTCCAAAAGTGGGCAATAGTGGTGGTTGCAGGATTGAGCCATTACTCCGTAAGTTTATGAATGCTTTGGAACTATTTTGGTTGCCTATATCCAGCGCATAACAGTGGGCAATTTAAATTTGAACCCATTTATATCTTCTAATTTAATGTTACTTTGAAAAGAAGCTCGAGTATCACTAGATCCGTTATAAACAGAGTTCAGGAAAGTAGAGTTCTATTACAATCTTTGGATGTGGACATTGAAAAATTCGTTTATGGAAGTTCACGGATGGACTTGAGCCTATTCAGAGAGCTTACTTGTCCCCTCGCGGTCTGGCGTTTTTTCTACGACAGGTCAAGCGCGTCTTCCCCTCTCGTCAACCTGAGGATTGAGAACCATGATGCATGCATGATGCTCTTGGCATTCCGCACCAGGTGTTCGTTTGTTGTGAATACGAACGAACAAAGACGAAAATTACCCCGGTTTAATGTAGTGAGGTTATTTTTGGCGCCCTACGACCGGATTGGTGTTGTGACCGAAAGGTGGTCAAGGATATGAATAGTCAGGCAGTGACGGGAACAGTTTGCAAAGACGTTTTGTCGTAGGTTAGAACGAAAATGTTCATGAAGCCGACGGACGTTTTCTTCTCGTGGTCGGTCAGACGAACGGGATGGGCATTCCAAGAACTTTAATAAACGAAAGCTTCGACGATTATTGTACGACGGCAACCGCGGGTGAACTCGGACGAGTCGGACCTGCGTACTAAATTCTTAGCAGATTTTTTTTAAACTACCATAAGAGTAATAACACCAATAGTAGCGTGCTTTGTAGTACCAAAAAAAAAACTATTCCGCTCAGAGATCAGTTAAAATGTGGAACTGTTTGGAACGGAAGCTTTTTTTGGACACAATGTCGGAGTGGGTTTTTGTTCCTGTTTGTGTGGTTTTTGATGTGTTTGGTTCGTGCGTTCCCTAGTGTCCATTTGTTAATTGTTTGGTTTGTGTTACACAGTTTTGGAATGCAACAAAGTGTTTAGAGTAGAAATTGTTGGTGAACATTGCGGCTAATATTTCTTCGAACTATTTAAACACTAGGTAAGTATCTTATGCGAAATATCAAACCCTTGCAAGTGCATTTCATTACAAAATAATAAATGTTGAATGCTTATAGATGCATGGAGGTCAGGGACAGAAATTAAATTACTTTAGTAATGTCCAGTACCTTCATGTATACTTAGTTGATGTACCTACCTGCTGAAGTTATATTGGATGTTTCCAAAAATCCCTGCAGGAAGTTCGATGGGGTGAAGAAATACAAAACAATGCATTTAAAATTTTATTATTTTAACCAATCCCAATCTTTACGACTATCCCACTATCCATATACTAATGACAGAAATGTTTCACGCAGAACGGTTATGGCAATCGGCAAGAATACAAAACGAACTTAAGGTTTCTTTAACCTACGCAGCACAATGCCTTCCGTGACAACAAATAATACTAAAACTGCCTAAGGATGTGGTCGTTGTATCCGCTAACCAGCTTTCTAGATGAAAATAACCCTTTTTTTGGTGCCATTCATTAATGGAAAGTTTCTTCAGTCTTTTTTAGGAATTAAGCAGTAACACAGTCAACTAATCTGAATTTTTCATTGCAAAACAAAACAGTATAATTGGTAGTGAATAAAAATGCATATTTTGTTCCATTACAAGGCTTTATAAGATAAAGCGTTAGTGTATTTATGAAAAGAAGTACTATATTGTTCATAAGATAATAAGCTACTGTATTTGCCAGGGAATATATTAGCAGTGAAACGATCGATGATTTTTGTTTTTTTTTACGTTTATTTGGGATTCTGATACACAAGATGAATATAATGTTGTTCGACGGATACTGCAGGTGGAAGAGAAACAAGCCTGAATCAAGGCTGGCAATGCAAAATGCAACGGAAAATGTAGTATGACATTGCTACATTGGCCAGCCTGACAAGATATTCATCGGAGCTATCAGTTGTACATCGTTTCTCACGGTTCAGAGCAAATTGAGCATGAACGATGCTGATTTAAAAAGAAAAGGCATATCAAAGTCTCCGAAGCGCGCTGACTGTTTTTTTGTCCTCAATAATATCCTTCAATAATATTTACAAGCAAAGTAAATAGTAGTATATTTCATCCTCGGCTTCGCAAGAAGAATATTATGAATTGAAGAAATCCTTTTTTGTACCGCGATTAACTATTCGGGAGGAAACGGTTTACTTCTTTGGCTGAATGAAACATACTTGCCTTAAAGGCTTTTACAGGTCGCCTGTAAATATGTCAAATAAAAATAAAAAGAAGGACATTTACCGAAACTTCTTCTATTCCCTAAAGAAATCTTCCTGGTAATGATTAAATATGTGCAAAAGTACTATTTACTTTTCATCATCGGCTTCGAAAGAAGAAAATTATTAATTGAAGAAATCATTCCTTTGTGCCGCGATTAACTATTTTAGGGGAAACGGTTCACTTCCTTGGCTAAATGAAACTTATTTAGCTTAGAGGCCGTTACAGGTCGTCTGTTAATATGTCAAATAAAAATAAAAAAAAGGACGTTTACTGAAACCATTACTTCCAGCAGTAGTTTTAGTTCAAGTTTTTTAGCTACAAGTGAAAACCAAATGAGCTTCCTCTATTCCTTGAAGAAATCTTCCTGGTAATGATTAAATACGTGCAAAAAAACCCTACATTGCTAAAAATACGATTTCTCTGAATCACAACAAAGCTTGCTCACGAAGAAAAACGACAGTATATCAAAAGGACTGGACGTGTTAGGCAAATATTGTGGCAAATACGCGAAAACCAACGAAATGTTGTTTTATGTAACACATGGAGAAGATCACTTTACGTTCTAGCAGTGGTCTTTCTTTATTAATTCTTAGTGTTTACGTCGAGGTTTCGGTTTATGTGCACAGTCATGCAAGCACGTGTTGCTGTACGTAATTATTGACTTCAAAGGAAAATATGTACGTACACGGTTTATCAGATAATTAAAGTGAGTCGACTGAACAATGTCTTTTTGTTAGTCGATAAATAACTACACCATTAGTTATTTCTTGTATATAATACAAATGTCGGGGTAAATGTGTGAAAAAACGAAAGCAAAAACTACTAATGTTGCTGAATTTCGGTCAATACACTCATTTGATTGAGCGTTCTGTTGAGTAGCTTTTTTATCAATTGTTCTACCTGAAACTAGTCGTATTGATAACAGTTGAACGTGGATGAAGCATTATCAACATTCCAAACTTGGTAACGAGTAGAAATCATTCTTCACTGTTCTAGAAACGGACCTATTATTTATGAGAATGGATGTTGTTGGTTGAGAGTACAAGCCGAGGGCTCAGTGTGACTGCAACATCCAACGCCTACTGCGAGTAATAATACAACCAAAGTGACCATAACATTTAAATACGAACAATATTTTAACGAGCAACTTGGCCTTTCTTTAGTTCGAATAGCACATCAGAAATACAAGGTTGTGCAGAATTCATTTGTTTTATTACATTTCCTGGCCTAGAAGAAACCGCTGACAATATAGCACCGCTGTTATGTTTTAAAGGTTCTTCTTGAAGTAATCGTAAAGCATTGTGGTGCACATCTTTTTGTAATTATTCAGTAAAAATTAAAATTATGGACGAATTAGGACTGCATGTAAAAGGGAAGAGGGAAGAAAGAAAATACGTATGAGGCGTGAGTTAAGACGAAAGATTGAGGTTAGGTCCTACATTTGGAGAATATTCTGTTAAATTCAAGATCTGTTTACGAACGAAATATTTGCAATTGGGTAGTGCAAATACATCAACTTCATTGTCATGAAAAGGAACATAACACACATTTTACCTTTAACTTGCATTTTACATGCAATAACTGTATTATTTTCATTTGTATCCAATTAACCAACAGTTACTTTTTGTATATCTTA